GTATACCCTATGATTTGTATGTGTGCGATTCATACTTCGCGGCAGTGAAGCATCGGTGTTGAACACTGATGTCACGCTGTCGATAATAATAATAATAATAATAATAATAATAATGGTGATGATGAAGGCCTTGTCGTTCTGGAGTACGCAGATGATGATACGCAGACTAAGGTGAAGCGCAAGCTCTTTTGAATGGACTGACTACCATTATACCATCTTCTGGCATGCGCCACGCACTTTCCAATTGCAAAGTCATGCTTCAGAACGTTCAGTCTCCGAACATACTCCTTACAATTCAAAGAGAATCGCTGGAGATTGTGGGAAACTTTACACACTCGCTAGTTGTATTAGCTCTGTCGGAAGTGTCTGCTAAAGTCGGTGCAAGAATTCAAAAGGCTTGAATAACGTTTTCTAATTTACTTCACTTGTGGCGTCAAAAAGGCATCTTGCTAGATCCTAAGAGTAAGGGCTGTGTTGTTGTATGGGTGCGAGACATGGCCTCTGCGGACACATGATGTGAGGTGTCTCTAGGTTTTGGATGGCGTCAGCGTGTCAGAAACGAAATGATTTGAAACGGGTATTTGGTTGTGCTTCAGGTACTTCAGTCCGGAAGAGCATCCAGCACCATCGACTACAACGGCTCAGTCATCGTTATAAATAGAATATCGATCCTGTTTAAACACGAGAACAATATTCAATAGCGTAGAGTGAGTAGCGCTTACCTGTCTAAGAATAGACGTACAGGAGCTGAAAGTGGAGGCGAAAGCATGGTTAATACGAAATGACAATGTGAACATAAAGGGTAGTCATGACATCCACCAGTGTATATAGGGGTAACTCGGACACAAGTACTGAATGAATGATTGTGAAAATCTACTAAGGGGTAATGCTAAGTGTGGTCAGACTTCTCGGTTTCCTAAAATACGGTACTGCGTATGCTGCTGGGGCCTGGCTAAATCAGAGATGCCAGGGTCATATGTATTTGGAGCAGATGCGTCGCCCGGGCAGGGCAGTGGTCGGCATTATCTTCAGCACGAAGGCGTGTGTAAGTCAGGCAGAGGGTTATGAACGCCATTGCCTTCATTGGATGAGGTACGCTTGAACTCGTTAACATGTGTACGACCACCACAAAAAGCGAGATGGCGGACGGATACAGTGCCTTCTTCTCCGTCAGGAAAACGAACATGGTCGTAATGTGGATCGCAATTTATAAGTTCGACTTCCTCCACGACGGGTACATACCTAAAAGCACGGTCAAGTCTTTTAAGTGAAGCAGTTTCTGAAATAATTAGCCAAGTTGGTATAGACAAACCACAGGATGACCGCCGTTCAAACCGAAACATTCGTTCATGTGGAGCGTCACTCGTGGAGACGCAGAGAAGGGACCGTATAGAGTGGAGGGCATCTGGTAGAGCCGACTCCCAGTGACAGATTTGAAAGTCTTGAGTCTGAGTTGGATTGCGTTTCAATGTCCCATTGAGGCGTCTGACTTGCCTGTTCCCCTGGGGATTATAAGCAGTTGTTCGGCTGGTGCAAACTCTGTCATGTAGGAATGTGGACAGTTCGTCAGATTTGAATGAGGAGCCACGATCCGAATGTACATATGCAGGCATACCAAACAAGGAGAGTAATTCACATAGACATTTAATAACGGCAGATGCACATGTATCTAAGCAAGGAAAGGCAAATGAAAAGCGGAAAAACTCGTCAACGTTAGTAAGGGAATATCGGTTTTGAGTAACAGAAGGCAGAGGTCTTTTAAAATCGATGCTCATTCGTTCGAATGGTTGAATCGCTTTGATTAGCGTAGATGGGGGTGGTTTTTGTAACCGCGGTTTCATAGCGGCACAAACTGTACATTTTGTGGTGATGTCTTTAACATCTTGAAGGGGAAACGGCAAGTTTTTGGAAAGAACAAAGTGATGCATGCGAGTAATTCCGGGATGACACAAGGAATCATGAATTTCTTTTAATTTACCATTACCGATCACATTGGCGCATAGATTACGCGATAAAGTGTCAGGCACCAGATTGTCTTTACCAGGTCTGTAGCTGACATCGTAGCTAAAAGCGGACAGTTCCATTTTCCACCGCCGGATTTTATCGTTCTTACCTTACGTTTCTGCAACACAACTTACATAAAGGAAACCGACCGCTGGTTAGTGATAAACTTGAAGTACTTCCCGAAGAGATAATGCTTCTATTTACGGACAGATTCATCGATGGCGTATGTCTCTTTCTCAGTAGCAGAGTGATTCTTCTCGCTCTGTGTCAGTATTCTAGAAAAGAAGGCACTGGTCGGCCGTTTTGAGTCAGAGATGCAGCAATAGCTATGCCTGAAGCGTCCGTTTCGACAATCAAGGTTAGTGGTAGTCGACTGTCACAACCATAGCATTCTCTGACTTCCCCTTTAAATTTTCGAAGAACTGTTGCACACACTCTGGTAAGAGAAAAGTTATTTCTGACGAGCACTGACTTTGTCAGGGAAGTATGGTATCCATTGCGAATAAGAAACAAATTTACCAACAACTCGTTGTTGGAATTTAGGGTCATGTGGATTAGGGAGTTGACGAATAGTGCTCATTCGTTCAGGATCTGGTTTGATAATTCCTTCAGAGACTTCATAGCCGAGAAGGCATATTTGTTTGGCTTCTATGATGCTTTTCTTTCACTTAAGGATAATTCCATATTTTTTTACTACTTTAGTGTAAGATTTGAGGTTCTGGTCATGCTCACTTTGAGTAGTCCCACAAATAGTGACGTCGATGTAGGCGTAGGTGCCACTTAGGTTCTCAGACTTGATTATATGGTCAATAGTACGTTCTACTCTGTTGGTAACACCGAACTGAAACAGTTCTCTGCCTGCTTCAAAAGCCGTATACGATTTGTCTTTCTCACTGATTGGAACTTGTTGGTGAGCGCGTACTAGGTCCGAGGTGCTTAAGACACCATGGCGGGAAATTTCTTCAATCATTTTATCCAGTTTTGGTAATGGATAAGCGTGTAGATATGTGAACTAATTAATGATTTGACTGTTGTCCACTTGGTCAGTGTAACCTATGGAATGTGGTTGGCTGGACCATCGCAGGAAGGCTCCTTTGGAAAATGACTTGATGCACCTCTAGTCAGATGTCCTCATTGAAGCCGGCTAGTGCTTCGGAAACTGATGACTAAACTGCGTAGTGCTTAATCCTTAACCAATAACATCGCATTGATCGCAGTGTGTACGTTATCTTCCATAGGCACATTCATGTCGTATTGACTTCACAAATGTTGGTGGTTAGCGGAAGTTGCCCTGGCATTCTGATTCGAAAACCAGCCTTGTCTTCGCTCTTTCTACCCAGGTGAATAAACATATCTACCACGTCGACTAGTTAGTCTACAATCATTGGGTTTATATTTATCTCATTCAGCAATGCATTGGCACCTGGCACTGAAGGTGTGAAACACACCGCAAGCATTGTGGAAACTCTATTCTAGTTTTTTAAAGTGGTCTATCTAGGCTTGGGCAACTTGGAAGTATGCCGACCCTTGTGCTTCTTGCTTCCAGCTACAAGAGAAGCGATGTTATCTGTGTATTCAATGTCTGTTAACATCCCCCAACATGTAACAGACCAATAGTGCAGCCTTAAACAGCATGTCAGTATGGTGATTTCTCACAAAGGGGCCACCCTCGGGAAGTGGATTCTTCGGTCTGTTTTCAGTGAGTGGGGACTCTCTGAAAATCAATCGAGATGTAGCATGGACTCACCTGGTCTTAGAAGAGTTATTCAGAATAATGTTTTTTTTTGATAACGTTTAGCAATCCTCACCGACTTTGCCTCGTTATAAATGTGATGCGAGCCAGAATATCCGTCATCCTGTTGCTTCAGAAGAAACTAGTGAGTTTACCGGTTCATATGGAACGTAGCTACTTCACTTTTGGAGTGTTTGAGAAATAGAACTTGTCTCTGCTTAAATATTTCCATAAGACAAACCAATCCAAAATTTTTTGCTGTTTTTGCCAGGTATGAAGAAGAAATACGCCTCATGGAAATGGAGCGTGGAATGGACGTCGAATTTGTCAACCCGACCCCTGGACATTGCTTAAAGACTCGCCATTGGCCGAAGGTCCATGCATCAAAGCTGCAGCAGACCGTGGATCCGGTAGTAGATAAAACGGGCGAGGAATGTGTCAAAGTTTTCATTAATGTCTGCAAATCAGTTAAGATCGAATGTCCTGTTATGAAACCATCCAAGAATAGTTATGGGAAGCCTGTTCCAAATGCTTGCTACTGGAACCTACCACATTGCTTTAGCCCACCGCGTGAAGACTTTGATAAGAAGAAAAACCGTGTCATGGTTAGTTCTGTCATTTTTCCTTATTCGTTATGAGTTATTTGAGTTTCCTTATGGCATCGGTAGAAGTTTCTGGGATTCGCTTAGTTAAAATTATCTAACTTTCGATCCCAAGTTACCATAAACCCTTTTTTAGCATTTCCCTATTAGACTTTACGAGGGTGAGGTTAAGTGGCTGGCTCCAATGAATTTTCTGTCTAGGCAGTGCACTGAAAATGGCGGTAGTTCGCCATGATCTTCCTCCACCCACGTCGTATTTGGTCCATTGAGTGTACCCGCTCTGCTCTTATCTGTACTGTGGATTTTAGAAAAGGTTGCATGCGCTTACACAGGTCTAAAGACAGTGGGAGCCGGAAAATGTAAATCAGGAGGCTTTTTCATACAGTATAAGCCGAACACAGTTACAGGACTTGGTCCGTGAGTGATTGTAAGGCAGGCTGGAAGATCGGTCTCATTCTGCTGCAAAAATATGCGATGTTTCCAATGGGTCTGCCGCATATGACTCATGCTTGGGTGTTAAGCGGAATTTGTTACCGCTAGTTAGGTACGTATTAGCTGAACCACAGCAACTATCATTCGACCATAAGCATAGGCGTGTTAGTGAGAACTGCCCCTCGAAAGATGAGGAAAATAACAAAATTATTGTTGCATTTCTGGACACCAAGCAGCTTAACTTGTGAGGTTGCGGAGGGTGGACTTCAAACTACCGCCATTATGTGTGCATATTCCGACAGTTTGAAAATCACGCGGATATTTTTTCGTCTGCACGCCTTGAACATAGGCTAATTTGCACGTAGGGGGCACTGCCGTGCATTTCTGGCTTGTCGATCGGGCTTTTGAACGTTTGAGATTCAATCTTTGCATAGGCGTTGTGAAAATTCCACAGTGAGAAAGTGTTGTTTTCCCTGTGGGAGTGCTCAATTTCAGGTGGCCGTTCTGGTGTAAATATCGGTTTTTGCGTAGACTAGTCAATTGCTTGCAGCCTAGCGCGTCAGTCCATTGAGTCATTGGCTTCCGGAAGCGTCCCCCTAGAAAACCATAACAACTGCTGCCTCGTGGTTGGCAATTTTGAGCCAGAGGCTAGGGGCTGGGTCCCCAAACAAAAACACACATCCTCCCACTGCTTTGTGGGCCAGGCTTTTGAGTCGACAACCCAAGTTGGGATACCTCAACTGACCCTCCTTCGGCTCGATCCACTGGGGTTTATCACTTGCCCCTGCATATATTCGTTCGCAGGCCCTATATCACCCCCCTGCCCACGCATCGAATGATGCAGTGCGCTCAACTCTTCAGCCAGTTCCCTAATCATTATTCCGTGTCTAATCTATCACCCTGAAAAATAAAACAAAATGGTACCCTACTTACCTACAAGGATATGATCCACGTTGCATTCTTAAATCTACGAACTCTATGTCTAAATTGGCAGCAGGCAACCCCTCCTAAAACCTTGCTCTCCTTTATCGGTGTACGTTATCTCTCGAAAACAAGCATACGAGACCACACCTCAGTTGTGCACATGAAGTCGCTCAGGAGGAGGTCAGGTGTCCCACATTCCACTCTTCAGGTATCTTTATCTTTGTGCAGTGGCTCGTGGAAGGACATTTGGAGTCTCAGTCTCAGTCACTGGCTGGACTCCTTGTGACAACCTTAAAGAATGAAAGAGTCTCATTCGTAACACCCTTTCTGTACGTAGTTCCAATGCCACCCGAAGGAAGCACTTGGTCTCGTCGAACCAATCGATGTGTTAGATAAATTTGTTTGCCCTTGAAGTTGCATGGCTTAAGGTGAGATTTCTTCTCGAATCGGAACAGCCAGGGCTTTTGCGAACCTCCGACGCTTATGGCGCTGGTATGACGTCAGTTTGTCTGTATGGCCTCAAGCACTCATTTGATATCTCGCTAGCAATCGTGGAGACCACGCACAGCTATTTTTTGACTGCATTAACTGAGGAGGTTGCAGGCGTTCCAACAGCTGGCGAAGGGGCCTGCTGGAGAACCTTAAAAGTTATGTAACGGGGCATCACGTCTACTTAATCTACTATGTTTCCGGCTGACCATTAGGTTTCCCACGTTTGGGATTCACAAAACGGAATGGTGCTTTCGACGCTGCCTATATTCAGTCTACTCAGTTTTCAACTGTCAGGTGACCATACGAGATTAGTCTGTCGATCATGTAGCTCCGGTTAATCCGACCTCCATCTCGATCCCAAATATATGATATTGTTCAGCCTACTCATCGATGTCCCCTGTTGATTGCTCAGGTGTTCAGCAGTTCCGTGGGTTACCGTGGCCCACTTACTTGCCAAATTCTAGGGATGAGCTGGGCAAAATGGGATGTTCTTTTACGGTAAGAGATATTTCACATCGGTGAATGGAAAGATCCAGTTGCATTAACATACTTGTTGCTAAACTCTTTTTCCCAGGTCTTTGATGTCGCATTTCATCCCAAAGCTTTCGAATTGGCCGTCACCAGCCCTGCTATGCGTCGACTACTCGATGTTACTGCAGTTGAGGGTGTACAACGAAATTTTGATTTGTGTTTGGGTAAGACTGCACAACAAGCGACCAACTTGGCTCAATTATTTAAAAACGTCCGTGATTCCACCTCGCCACCCGGTACCGATCCGGTTCTTGAAACCACTTCCGAACGTTCGGAGGTGGTTGCTCGTGAGGAAGCCATTTTGCGGTCCGTCATCCTACTGAAAGGTGTCTCATATAAAGGTGTTGCGCGACCCACCGTCATCCGACGACAGCGTCCGGACTTCGAACAACGTCAGGCTGAAGTGAAAAAGCGAACAACAGAAGATATCGCTTCGTGTGATGATCCAGCGCAACGTGAAGCACTGAAAAGGTTGGCTTCTTATCCATTTCCCCAGGAGTCTGCAAAAGGTGACAAACACACGAACATCGGTAAGCGGGGAGTTATTACGGTGGGTATGTTATAAACACGCCTATTCGGTCATTATACTACCATCATTACTTTGGTCGTTATTTCATCTATATACATGCTATTTCCCGTCTTGGTTTTCTCTGGGCCTGATGCAAACTGCGGTTGGCTGCGACTCCACAATAGCGGCCAGCATATCTTCCTTTGCTCCACTGTCTCTAGTCCGATTTCCTGATGTATCCTAAAAATGCGCATCTATGCCACGTCTTTCAAGATGAAGCTGTTGTGCAATTTAGGATTTCGCTGCCTATGGCAGCTATGGTAGGCCGGCTGAGCGAGTCCACTCGATATGTGACCATGTTCCCTTCGCCGAGTAGTGTTTTCAGATCGAGACAATGTATCGATTAGTGGTGCAGAGCCTAGGGCGTTGGCTTCAACGCCCATTTATTACTTCCCCTTACCCCTACTAATTACTGCGAAGTTGACGATTTCGTAAAGCCCATATATTTTTTGCCCACCCTCGTGCGCAATCCCTTTTCCCCAAATAGGTCGGATGCTTTACTCTCCGGTTAAGCTTTAGGATTTGGTCGATTTCACTGTATTTTTAACGACTAGTGGCTAGTGATACGTGACTGAAAATTTCTTCTGGGATTGATCTTTTCCGCGATCCTGAATTAACTGTCTTCGTGTCATTGTCCAAAAGATGGCAGTTATCACTGTTTGCTTCGTGAAGACTATTCTTCCAACTTCTGGTCCTTTAGGTTTAGCCTGTACTGTACTGGGTGAGCGGGCCTCCCCAGTGGGTTGAACTGACCCTCAGTCGCTCTGACGGACACTTACAACCCAAATGCCCTGGTTGCAATCTGTGTGGTCTGTATCGCTGCTTCATGTAACCATCGATTAGTGTCGATTAGGCACACACGGCAGTCTATCTTCCCTCTTGTGACTACTTCTGGTTTTCCAATCAATTGGTCTTTTTTATTATTACTTACGGGTGCCTGTGAATTAGTCAAATTTGCCCTGTGCTAATGACCAACTGCCGGAATTATTCGCTTCTTTGTTTCCTTGAATTCTGTGAGGTATTCAGAAAGAAAATGTTTCACAGGTAGCGTTTTAAGTTTCACTCGTAGACCTCCACTACCATTGTTTTGACTTCCACGAACACGATACCTTTATCGAATTGTATCGAATTTTATCATCAGAAACTACCAATTCAATCGACACCGATCAACCAGTCGAGCCAGCCTATACCATTACCCATAGCTCGGACTATGACATGATCAACTGCCGAGATGCACCTGATGTCAATCCACTACGTGCGCCAGACCGTTTGCGAATCACTGTAAAACTTCCGGGTCTAACATCCAGCTCTTGTCTAGATTTGGACGTGACTTCGACACAGTTTTCCTTACGTGTAAGTCTGTGTGTATTGTTAGTTTTTGATGAGTACCTGTGCTTTCAATGTAACCACCGTCTCGCTATGTTCCGCCCCGAACCGTGGCTACTACTTCATGGGTTGCAAATGTACGTATAATTCGCCTCGAACTCCATATCCCTGCCTTACTTTCTGTGTGTGGACTTTCCAACTTTTGCGTTTTAGGTTGTTTTATCATGTAGCGGCTACAACCGCTGTACGACAAATACCCGAACCTTACAGCTGATGATGACGAACAATACTTGAATTGTTTTGCTGACTAGTTAGAAAGTCTGACCTTGATTACTGCATTCTTTGAGTCCCGGCATATCTCGTTTCTCCCGAAGACTAATCTAAGTAACTCACCTAGAAAGACTCTATTCTCTTTTATCCATAAGGTAGATTAATACTCCGGGTGGCCCGCTGCCGGTTTCGCGCTTGTTGCGGTTCAGCAAGTAGACCTGATCTCCGAATTTCCCTCAAGTTTATTTTCTAGTAGGACACCAAACTATAAGTATGTCGCGTTAAACGCATACAAATTTGGTTTATGTTGGCGGGGTACCCAGCTGAGATACACCTGAATCTAATTCATAAAGGCCGTCTTGTATATTGAACCATACTTTGATATTTTGATATCGTGCAAACTGGAAAGCGAGGATGTTTCTGTATGGACGGTGTTTTGTATATCGGAGGATAATCTACTGCATGAGGCAGCCTTTGTGCAACACATTCAGTTGGAGACTATCGTGACGAAGACTATTATAGTTAATTTGGCCCTTTTAGCGCATAAAGCATTTTCCGAACCCTGCTCACCACAGCCGTTTTCACTACAAGGGATGAGTGTTAGTCAATGAATTTGAAAATGTCTCTTAAGGACGACTGCATCTGTTCACCGGAATTGTCTTCTTTGGCTCAGTGGCCAGGTTTTGAATTGTCTAACACCATTAGTGTTGTGGAAGAGCGATCGTGGGAAGCGAATACCTACCGAACACATCCAAACGGCCGCAAGCGTCTGCGCTCTGAAGTAATCTGGATCAAACTGATTTACATCCTTTCTATTTCAGCGCCTTCCATCAAGCGCAAGGGTGATCATCCGGCCCCGCTTTAAAATGCAGAGTGTACTGGCAGCGGTCTTGTGTGCCCTTCCACAAATTCATACATTGGCGGATTCTTGTTTTCAACACTTTATTTCGCGACGGGAGGTGATAATGTCTCTTTGGAGGGCAGGGGCAATGAGAGGCCACGGGAAAAGCGATTATGCGAAGTTTTGTGAGAGTCCGCAGTGAGAGGAGATATAAATTACTTAACCATCCTAGATAACTGTGATCATTTGACATAGCTGGTTGGTTCAATAAAAAGTCGACTTACCTTACCATGCCAGAAGTCGCCCGAATGCACCTTCACCTCGTGCAGTGTGCAGACAAACCAGTCTAAACCCGTCGGCTCCCAAAGAACTTGTGTTGTTTGAACCATGCACTTTTTCGCATTCATTCATGCACCCTCCCTTTCTCAGCCAGTCGTGGGGCTTATCTGTTATAAAATCGTCCAGCTGTAGCACCCTTTCGGTGCCTAGCTGCCATGCCACACGAAGGAAGCACAAGGGCTGGGATACTACCAGATCGCCCAAGCCTAGACAAGGGAAGTCGAGAGGCAGAAGTCGGGTTCGAACCACGAACCTTCCAATCACTAAATTCGCGTTCTAACCACTTGGTCCATCTCATCATCATCATTGTCAGCTGTAATAACCGCGTACTCGTCGTACAGTGGTTGTAGCTGCCGCAGTTTCGTTCACCGATGTTTGAAGGGGATAGGTACAGTGGGCTGTCGAGTGGGAATGGGGGGTTAGAAAAGGAGCTATGCATTGAAGGCGATAGCTTGGATGCACGAGCGCCATTGAGGGCGCGACTGGGCCATATCTGACAATGTCCCTAGCCATTGATGTGGCCCGTCTCGGGGTCCCCATCCAGGAAGACGGCAGTGACCAGCGCAGCTGAGTTTGCTGGTAATTGCTTTCATACTTCGCTGCCAAGTCATTGTTTGACCGCCTCTGGCTCTCTTCCACCCTTCACGTGGTTGTGCGAAAAGAGCCCTTCGAGGAAGTCGGTCGACTGGCATACGCAACACGTGGCCAAGCCAGCGCAACCTATGCAG